AAAAAAAAAAAAAAAAATAAAATAAAAAATGATCAAGTCCATTTACCAATCCTTATCACTCTCCCTTTTCATCTTCCTTCTCTTCTCCTTGTCATCTGCCCACAACAAAACCAAACAGGACCCACCATCCTCGTCGTCGGGCACTAATTACGCGGGCTGTTTCCCCAAAGTGTATGCCTTTGGGGACTCGGACACCGATACAGGCAACTGCAACTTCCTCGAGTCCCACTTGAAGAATGAGGTCAATTTCAACATCTCGGCTCGCCTCGTGGTCGACTTCCTGTGTGCGGGCCTCTCCCTCCCGTCCCCACCACCCTACAAGACATCATCATCTGGGAATTTCAGCAGCGGCATCAACTTTGCAGTCTCGGGCTCCACCAGCCTCGAGGTCACCGATTTCTTCGGGCCCAATAACCTGAGCAGCCTGTTCTGGAAAGGGGTCCCCATGAGTTTTCGGACTCAGTCCGATTGGTTCAGTGAGTACCTTCAAGGGCAAGCGAAAGGCGGAAACAAAGGATCCCACGAAGCTGATGTGGCAAATGCTCTCTTTTGGGTTGGGCAGTTTGGAGTCTCGGATTACATGAGCTCTCAGGGCTCATCCATCTCTGTTCAAGCTATATCCAAGTCATCCGTGAAGCACGTTTGTGAAATCCTTACGGTACGTGCATGAATCTCATAACCAAACTATTCGTTATCATTCAAACAAAATGGGGAAGATTAATCTATTATTTTGGCATGTAAACTAACACAGACAATTATCTCGAGCGGCGCAAAGTACATAGTGGTGCAGGGGCTGCCTCCTGTGGGATGCTTCCCCTGCTACATGTCGTCAGGCCCCAAGCATGGCCTGGACAAAATGGGGTGTGTCTCGGCCATCAATGCAGGCATAAGTGCCCACAACGAGATCCTCCAGTTGGCACTAGAGAGGTTTCGGAAGATGCACCCACACTGCACTATCGTGTACGCCGACTACTGGAACGCGTACCTCACCATCACCACTAACCTTAAAAAATACGGCATGGAGGAGCCATTCAAAGCCTGCTGTGGATGCGGGGATGGTCAGTTCAACTTCAACAAAAACAACATCTGTGGCTCGCCCGGCACCTCTGTCTGCAAGGACCCTCACAAGTACGTCAGCTGGGACGGGATTCGCCTCACGGAGGCCATGCACAAACACCTGGCCAATCTCTTCCTTCATCAGGGCTTCTGTCATCCATCCTTTGATGAGCTCGTCAAGAAAAAGAAAAGCATGTAGCCACAGTACCCGAACATAGCCCTAGTGTTTTACTGCTCCGGGTGACGTTGGATGCATCAAGAGAGCGAGATTATAATAAATGATAGATATAGGATAGCATTACACAATATTTTTCCCCTTTAATTTTTTTCATTTTTATACACTATTATGCATAAGTTTTTTGAGTGACCACATGCTGCTGCTGCAGCAGATAGTATTTGTACCAGTTGCTGCAATACAACAACTAAACCAAATAAATTTTGAATTCCTACGATTACATTACTTGTCATTTTAGAAATGCTTTAATCCTAAATAAATTTTGAATTCCTACGATTACATTACTTGTCATTTTAGAAATGCTTTAATCCTAGACGACACAACTAAACAACAAATATAACAACACGCACTGATATGTAATAGACGAAGGAGGCAAACACCCAAGGTTGATAATGCTTGACAAAGTTTATTTATCAACTCAAAGGTATAATCCTCAGAGAGCACGACATGTACAAGAGCGGAAGTTTGTATATTCAGATACAGTTAATAGAGAACCTTTTGTACCCGACTATATGCAAATTTTCCGGTCGGCTTTCTATATACCTTTCCCCTCATGCACACATCAAAACTAACACTCTTTGTAAATTAAGAACACGACATCTGGAGAAGATTCTGACAGGTTTCTGATATACATGTAAGAACCGTCGCATATCTTCTTTAGAGACTGTCGAACGAATCACATCGACTTTGCTTATTAGAGCCCATAAATCTCTTGATCTAACTCGTTTCAGAGTCGCACGGCAGAAAGGACAGGACATATATCGTGTGCTCCTAAAAATTTAAAATAATCCAGAAGCAAAAAATGTTCAAAATTAAACAGATAAAGCGTATTCTTGAATATTGGATAATCATAGTGCTTACACATGAAAGTGATGATACTAGCACTCATTTACCGTAACCATAACAGTTAATGCACACGGCATGGCAACAACTTGGTGTGACCATTTTGGTGTAAGGATCGAAGCATATCCCGCATTCATTATCCTTCTAATAAGAATCCATGGATGCCAGAAGAATGTCGTTATGTTCTTCAAACTTCTCTTTTGTCATGTAAGTATGCCATTTAGAACAAGACCTTCGTCGGTCGATCGGCGATTGCTGTCAACCACGTGGTCGGCTGGTCTAGTCGGTCGATCACTGCCGTGTGCGGTCGTAATTGCAGGCCGGCCGACGATAATTCGTATCTCGTCGTTGCTCATTTCACCGGAAATCGCCGGAATTTAAGAGAAATTACGAATTTTGAGTTTTTTTGAATTAGGGCACGGTGTTTCCTTGGGAAAAATCAAATGGGCGGGAAACCATCTCACACATAAATCACACAGTTCACACACTTTCTGCCCACCATGGAATCCGATTCTGATTCGGACGCCTCTCACATCTCCGCCACACCTCCGAGTTCGCCATCAACCTCGGCCGCCGGTACCCCAGCAATGGCGCGCCGTGGCATTCTTCTCCCCACCACATCAAGAATTAGACAAACCGCAGTTTCCACCTCAACCACTTCGAGAACAATTCTTCAGCCGAAGATCTCTAGGAAGCACAGGAGTCCACCTCCGAAGCACGATCCGTCTGAAACAGAACCCTCTCACTCCTCCCAAACCGCGCCCAATTTTTCCATCCAAATCAATAAATCAGACGTTCCGAGGGACAGGTATCGTGGTGCTACTCTTGTTCATGGAGGCCATTGCACATCGAAGTTTGCATCGTTCGCGAAAGTTCAAGGTAAGAATCTTAATTTCGAGCCTGATAATTCAGCTGAGAGAAAAAGTGGGATTTATGTTGAAGAAGGGGCTGGTTTTGGAGATGAAGATGAGGCTGATGGTAAGGGGATTTATGTTGAAGAAGGGGCTGGTTTTGGAGACGAAGATGAGGCTGATGGTAAGGAGCTTAGAGTGAAAAAGGTGAGAAACAATCTTAACTTTATTGGGGCTCATAATTCTTATATGCTGCCGGCAAAAAGGGCTAAAACTGTCGACGGGGGAAATTTTGTTAAGCTCAATATCAATGGTTATGGGAAGAAAAAGTTCAAGTACAAGAATAGGAGGACGAGCTTTACTTCGTCCAGTAGGCATCCAAAGTATTATAGAGGAAGTAAGGGAGGTCTACGAGGTGGAGAAGAAGAAGACGGTGTAACTGATGGATATGATATATTAGAGGATATCCAAAAGCGGCAGGAAAAATCAAGCTTTCAAGCTGAATTGATCGAAGAGGCTGTGAAGAGGGTAAGAAATGAGGCATCGGATGATAATTTGCTGAAGCTACTGAAATTGACACATGGTTACGATTCATTTAGGGATGGTCAGTTGGAAGCTATAAAGATGGTGCTTTCAGGGAAGTCAGCAATGCTGGTGCTGCCAACAGGCGCTGGCAAGTCGTTATGTTACCAGTTACCAGCATTGGTGCTGCCAGGTGTCACACTTGTGGTCAGCCCTTTAGTGGCTTTGATGATTGACCAGCTCAGGCATTTGCCTCCTGCCATTCAGGGCGGTCTCTTGTGCAGTAGTCAGGTTGGTCTTGTCTCAGTAGATTAAGTGTGTACTTCTTGCATTTAGATGACTTTTCAGTAACTTTGTAACTTTGATTGTTGTAAGACGGCAGAAGAGGCTTCAAGGACTCTGAAGTTGCTGCAACAAGGAGCCTTAAAGGTTATTAATTTATTTACATATTTTTGTTTGCTATTATTCTAGTTATATCAGCACCAACATCATTAATCCTCTTGGCATGGAATTGAGTTTGAATAAAACTGTGTTTATAGAATACGTGCAAAAAATACGTTGTTCTTAAATCATTTGGTGCGCTTCACAGTTTGATTCTTGTCGTAACATTTTTTTTTTTTTTTTTTTTTTTTTT